AAACAGGGGAGAGAAAATTCAGGACGAGACAAAAATACAAACCCAGTCCAAAAAAGGCAAAACCCAGATTCAGCAACCGCTTAACCAAAACAGAAGTGCCATTGAAAACCAAAAACTCAACAAAAATCGAAACGACAAAAAATCCCAGAAAAGCAACCTTGGTTTCTCAGAAACTACCGGACTCCACGAAAATGGTAGACGAGTGAGGCAGCTTAGAGAGCCGGAATCGGAAGCAATCGCCGGAAAGCAGGGCGGCGGAGGGAATTCCGGCGAAGTGGGTCGGCGGTGGGAGTGAAGGAGGAGAGAAATCGATCAGAATCCATAAGAAGAATGTTGGATGGAGGAATTGGGAGTTCTGGGAGTGGGTTTTATGAGAGGAAAAGAAAGAAAAATTGCAGAGAGAAACGAAGTGAACGTACGCGAAAACTGTAACCAAGTGGTGAGTGTGTGTAAAATGTGTTGCTTTGACAGCGGTTTGTTAATGGCTGCCTTCCCCCTAATATCCTCCATTTTTAGACCGACCTTGTGTGAATATATCCATTGTGGGACTATATATTATTAAAGCTTAAATACTATTTTGGTTATTGGGTTTATTTTCTAATTTATGATACTCGAACTTTTTAAAACGTGAATATTTTTGTCTTTATTGATAAAATTTTAACAAAAATTATATATACAATAGAAATTCTTTAACGCAAAGTTAGAATTACGTTTCAAGAAATTTGTTGAGTGTAGTTTCGAGTTGGAATTAGAATCGAAAAAATGAGATAGAAAAGAAAATAAAGAGACCACGTTCAAGGACCAAAGCGAATGTTTGGAAAGTAAAAACTTCTGTGGTATTAAAATTTTCTATAAAATTCATTAAAGTTAAGTTTTCTCTCTTGTTTAGCAACCTACCAAACACAAAATTAAAAATTCATAAAATTTATTAGATACAAATTTAAAAATTCACCATATGATATTATTTATATTTAAATTGGAGGGATCAATTATTTATACCATTGAAAGTTAAGACATCAAATAAATAATTTGGGCTTTATTTTATTAAAAATGCAAGAATAAAAATAATGTGTGTTTATAATATGTTTTGTCAATGTTTTTATGTATGCTAAGTTGGGTCACTTTGGGTAGCATTTTTATTTGTTTTATTTTTTTTGCCAAAACTTTGGATATGTCTAACTGTTTTTATATATGTCTAATTTGTATGTTTCATATTATAGAAGAGTTTAATCTTCTTTATAAATACTTTGCATAATTTAGGGTTAGACAGTTTAGAATTGTGTGATAATTACATGTTAATAAATGAGAGATACATAAAATTTTATTTATTAGATATCTTTTGTGTTTAAGTTATAAGTTTGTGATAAATAACATTAAGTATTTAATTTGAGAGGTGGGTTTTGGTTTGGTTTCATGTAGTTCGGAGGTTAGCAAACATGTAATTTCGGTTAAGTAAACTCATCGATCACTCAAAATGTAAAGTTTCAATTCACTATTTTTAGTTATACATATTCAACCCACGTGAATGAACATGTCATGATTATATGGGATTGGTATTTTTTTTATTACACTGATTCCACTTTTAAGTAACACTAAACATAAAATTTAACAAAAGTTTAATAAAAGGTCTAAGGAATGAACGGTAAATTGAATAAAAACTCATTAGTGATGAAAAGTTAAAATTCTCTAAATTTAGGGAGCGGAGGAAAAAGAAATAAGAGAATTTTATATACGATGACCATGTTTAAACAATTTCTACGACTTCAAACTATTTTTCTTCATAATCTTAATTAATATAAAATTTAGGAGTCTAACATTTAAGCAATTGACTTGGTCACAATTTTTATTTATTAAAAAATTTTAAAGCAAAATCTATCTATTTATTTTGTAGTGTTATAAAAGTAAACTATTCTCCACACTTAAAATAGTGTTTGTAATCAATTTTAAAATCTAGGAATATAATCTATAAAATAAATAAATCGTATAAATGTAATTTATAATTAACTTAATTTGGGACATAAGTTTTAAGCTTGAAAAATAGTGAATATTTTAAATATTTTTAACAGCCTAATGCTTCTCCCAAAAAATCTACCTTACACGTGGCAGTCTATTCACCAAGCAGTTATAAAACGGCACCGTCCAAATCATATCTTCATCAATTTAAAATTACAATATTCTAATAATATTAGTATATGGTTTGAACTTTGAAG